ACTCACTTAAAACGAGTAGCGTGAAATATTCAGTTTTTACAGTCAACTTATAACCAGCTTTACTGTAGGAAGCGACGGACGAACCCACTGGTCGACAGATCAGGCAATAAACTGTTTCGCTTTGGAAATCGTGAATTGGACAAGCTCTGGTCACTTGCACCTGACAATCTCGAGGCATGCAGAGATAAAAAACGACTTTTCCGGCCCGACCTCTACGAACATTTTCGGGACGCCATCCTCGAGCTGGATCCAAAAGAGAAAGTTGAGGAGCAGTATAAGTAAGACTTTGTATTTATAGTAGTTGCCGCAGTATTTGTTAGTAGCAGTGTGCCTCTCCAGTCTAACTTTTTATTTTTAGGACATTCTTTGAGACGGCCTTTCTCTTGAGAGTGTCATGAGCAGAGCCATTGATTGCGTAATTAAAGGACGCGGGTGCGTTTATAGTTTTATATGCGGCTGGTCGAAAGTTTGCGCGTTGTGTGGTACAGTGCGGAGGAAATATAATTTCGAAACTCGATTTCAGAACTAGTTGTAGGTAAGCCTGTTGTGGGGGGAAACGCTTGTTAAATGTAACGCAGTCCAATTACCATTTAAGCATTAGCGTTACATAAACATTCATGGTCCCATCTGGGGGCTATTTCCGTGATCGGAACGCCATTGTGGCTGAAGGAGAACTGTCGTTTGTCTAGGCATGTGCGTCCATGTTTAAAATTTTGCGGGTGGCCACTTAGGTGGCGTGTGTCCGCAAGCGTAACGAAGTCTTCAACCCGCGTCGTAGTTGCCTGTCGAATATGAAAAGCAGGTCGCCTCACTAGCTTCTTCGGGTATAACGTATTCGTAAACTTTCCACCATCTTTGTCGTCCGTCGTTGCATTTGCTCGCTAGGGTCACCATTCTTCTTCAAGGACGTTCAAGCTGGAATTTGGTATTTCGGTCGAGCGCAAGGAATTCAAGAAGAAGGACAACCAAAACTTTGTTGGACCGCTTTCCACTAGTACCCATCAAGATGGTGCATTGCCAAAATAACTCATTGGAGCCATCTATCCATTCAAAAATGACGCCTTTAACTGCAAACTTCAAGCGCTCTTTCCGGAGACCCCGGTAAAGCTCGCTTTCAAACGACGCCTTTAGTTAAAGGACGTCACACCAATGGAAGAGCCCTTGACTTTCGCTTTTGTTTAATTTTTCCTGTAGGTAGAGAACACTTGTAGGACAAGAGCACCCTCGGCGAAAGGTGTGCTGAGCGGCGTATGATATATTCCTCAATTTAATAAATTCCATTAAATGCTTCCTAATAGACCGTTCCCTCGCCTCGCACAACATCTAGCTTAAACCGAATCGGCTCTAAACCTGCCTCTGTAGTTTGAGAAGACAAAGACAGTCTATCTAGTTTCTATTATATGAATCTTTGGGATATCATAGATTCCGATATACGCAACACACCGATGAGTTCTCGGAGGATAGGTTTATGCATTCGCTTCGGAAAATGAAATCTTATAGGACTTCCACTTTGGTCACTTCTACTTTTACTGGTTCAAAAAAGGTCAACACCGCCTACTAGGTGACCGAATAAGGTTTTTTCCTCTGTTTTTTGAAGCGAAATGACAAGGTGAACTAGGGCTATGTTTATGCTTGAAAAACGACTAAAATGCATAGAAAGAATTAATATTTTTACTTGGCCATCGGGATGCAGAATCAGAAGAAAAACGTAGTATTTATAGACAGCTAAGAGCTGCCAGTAAGCGGTGTGTGTGATAGCCGGGCCGATTCCTCCTCCATGTAGGTGTTTGCGTGCACTCAGCTGTTGTCCGCTATAAATTATGACTTAGAAGGCCGCCATTCGACGGACAAAATCCGTTCTCTGCCGAACTCGGATCAGACTTTTGTGGCTGCGGTCTGAACACGCTCGCCGGAGAGTCACTGCATTTTCTTCAGCTGACATGCTGACATTCCGTACTCCAAACGCGGTCTATCAAAAGTACCAAGCATTCGTGGGAGAACGGTTTGGGAGGAAAGACGTTTAATTAAGTGCATAGTGTTCGGTGGCTTTTAACTGCTCTTTATACATGTTCATGAGACATGTATAAGTCTGCCTGCCTGTCCACTTCTTTTAGTGAAATCGGTATTTTTTTAGGAAACGTCTCCGACCAGTTAGATGCATTAAACGTTAGAAGTCGACTGATAGACCAGACATCCAGTTTATCAGCGTTTTTTGGACTTTTATATAATCTGAAAACATGATGGTTTCGCAGTCAAGATCCACAGTTCGGTCGTCTATATTGCTGATGAAAGGTATGGGATCCAATACCGATTCCTGTGGAATACCGCTTAACCTTTGTTATCCATTCGGATATTGTGGTACCAATAGTTACTGCTCACACCCTCAATGACAAAGAAGTTTTAACGTATTTTAAAATATTATCTTCAATTACACATAGCCAAATGTTTTGTAAGTCGCCTATGAAACACACTATCAAACACCCTCTTGTATTCAATGCATATAGCACCCGCTGGACGGCCCTGATCTATGGGTTTTGTTCATTTCTCTTGCGAGCGGAAATCACTCTTTGGGTGTGAGTGGCCACGGACGGCACACAGTAGGCTTCTCTGCTCCATTTACGTCATTAAACGCCCCCAATAAGTCGTTCTCTTAGTCTGCATAAATTGCAGGCTAATCTAGTCTGACAGCAGTTTCGGACTCGAGACTAGAACCTCTTTTGGTAGGATTGTGTCGTGGGGTCGTCTGGGGAAAGTGTGAAGCGCGCC